CCCCCCTGTAATACGCGAATTAGTCGTCTCTATCAAGATAGATTAGATTAATCGTGGATTACCTATATTCCGCTGTAGTTCGGCCGGAGCGTATGGGCCTTGAGGAGCGATTCCAAACAATAGTCTGCTAAAGACTATGTTTGGGGAACTACCAGTGAATATATAGTCTCAATTTGGGCACCTTCGCTGTAATGGTGATTGGAATATAAGTACCACCGGACGGAGCTCTTAAAAGGATGGCTCCGACGCCTCACTGCGTAGGGGGGGCAGTGTAGGACCTGGCCCGGGTGTAAACAGGGCGGCTCTTTGTGAAGAAGTGCGCCAATAACTCCAAGGAACAAATGTTGAGTGACTAAATACTCTAGGCGGCTGCTGCCGAGATCGACCCGGTAGGGCGGCTGCCATTATTAGGACTAGAGAGCTTGGAGGATCAGCAAGAGACTCCGACTGCAAGGCGGCGCTGTGAACAACGCCTAGGTGTTGCCTCAGCTACCAAGCTGTAGTGTGGGCCTCAGAGGGGGGGCCGATTGCGGATCAGTCTCGTTCCCCATTTTGTAAGTAGGAAAGACAAAGACGCCTGAAGGTGAAAACCAGCAATGTATCTAAACCTAACATACACATAGCGACATTCGTGAAGGTGGCCGACTGTCTTAGTGTGCTTGAGGTCTTTTACTGTGAGCATAGCCCCCGTATGCGAGTTGCAAAGATGAGATATGACAACGCAGATCGATCGCCAAAATGTTGAATGCTGAGGAACTAGCGGCAAGCACTGCCCTCGGCAACTGCGTGTGACCCGCAGCGCGGCTCTCTGATGAAGTATGTGCTCGCCTTACCTCTATGTTGAGCCTTGGCGGCTCCCACTTGCTGAAAGCTGACCTTGGAGCCAAATGGTCGGTAGCTGTGAGCCCCTCCGTACGTGTGACGTTTTAAGTTCAGGCGGTTCCAGAACCGGCGGCGCAACCTGAACTGACACACGGACAAGAGGGCGACCGCGGGCGGCGGGGCAGACTATACGGGCACCTTGTGAGCAGTTTCGTCAGCTTTCTATTGTTGTGAGCACAACCGAAGGAGGCAGACGGCCTAGTCTATCCGCAGCAGAGTCACATCGTCGGAAGCTGCGGGGCAGGGTGGTTTGGGTGAGTGGGTTGGTCTTGGAGAAAGACCGACCCACTCAGGAGGCGGGACAGGGAGGGATGGGGACCCCAGCCACTTAAACTAGCTAGTTGGCTACCTATCTTCAGTCACTTTCTTATCTCCTAGTCCTACTAATTCCAAAAATTTTCCGTAGTGAGAGAATGAGAGCGCATTTTCCTTCCATGCCATGGGCTGGGGTTGCGTACGGTTTTCTCCTGACAATCTATCTTGGCCATGCATTTTGGTGGCCCAATCTTTTGGAGCTTTCTAGCTCTCTATGTCATTTCATTCATGGCCAGCATTTACATTGGCACTGCTGGGTCTTTAGGGCTGCTCCCACGCAGCGCACCGCATTACGTGGCATTCTGGTCAAAAGGTCGGCCCTTGTGTCTGTATCCTTCGTTTCAATTTCATCACGATGACATCATCAACACTATGTAAGTAAGATTATAGAGACGACCACGATCCCGCACGTGTGGCTCTATGTATGCGGCTTCTACCTTTCCCTACGGTACCCCAGTAGACCTCTCTTACTGTAAGCAAACTCCGGAGCAAAATTCACCCAAAAAATCGCGATTACGTTGCAGCAGGAAACTGAAAAACCGGAAAAACTGTCGTGCTTTTTCTTCAACATCAGGAACAGAGAGCTGTATGAGCGATGGTTTGCTAACATGGCCGGTGATGTGGGTGAACAAGATGGAAACCCGAAAATTATCCCAGCCATTCAGGTGAAACGCGATGGCATTGAGGGTCTTGAACCTGAACCAAGCGTGAGGAGGACTGAAAGACAATTATCAACGTCAAGCAAGTAATGAAAATGATTTAGCTGCGAGCTTTTTATTCTTGTTTTTTTGGCTGTCTATCTCCTGAGCAGCACATTAACCTTTGCTGCTCTTAATCTGCTCTGCGAATTAGGCTTACCGGAATTTCGACTGATGAACAATCTTCAACTTGTATGGACCACCTCACGGAGTGGGAATTTGTATAGCTGAAATATGAGAATGTGCCTCAAGGGTCATTTTTCGACAATAATGGAACTACTACATCACTCACATGCATTTGTTGACTGTGCCAGCCATCCAAATGGCACGCATTGTTCCATGAACAACGTACGAAAATGTCACGAAACCAACTGTCTCTCTTGTAGTACATTCAACTAAACAAGAAAGAGCAAACATAAAACGAATTTTGATGCCGCCGACCCATATAAATGGGAAGGTCGGGAGGCCACGGATAGTTTAAACGATGTCAGATTGATACAGATTCTGAAGACTCAACGTGCTCAACTTAGCACTTACGCGTTTCATGACCATCTTCAGAGGCAATGTCTTAGTTGGACTTTGTGTGACGAGGACGCGCATTCTGTGTGGACATCAGAGGCGCAAAGGTGTTTATCGAAGACGCTAGAAGGAACGCAGAACACGCTTAGACTTAGAGAGTTAGAAAACAGACTTGCATTTTCATGCGCCTGGGCGGCTGATCCGCCAATGTCGACTGTGCTATCTGAAAGACTGATCTAGATGATCATCATGATCATGATATTGATTTCTCTTATAATACTAGCTGATAACTGTTAACGACCGTAGCCGTACACATACAAGCTGTTGACCGCCCGAACAGAAGTAAGTAGAAGCATGGCCTCTTTGAGTCCAAAACTAAAAAAGCGTTTTTTTCGATGATGTTGCGACTACTAAAGACAAGAACTAGTACTCATCTAGTTGTATTTTCTCTGTTTGTGTATGAGGAGTGCATGTAGTTTAGTCAATGGCCATGGCCCGAGTATTACGATGAGCATAGACGTCATTTGATCCAATCACTGTTGACAAGCTGTAACTGTACCAACATGTTGATTGTTTTATCATTCATTAACATGCTGACAGGACGACGATAGCGCCGGCGCTTAGTTAGTTTTAGCAGTTAGCAGGATACTTTCGGATACTTGTTGATAGTTACCCTCTTCTCTTTTATATCTTCCTCTGTCTGGTCTGTCTTTTTTCTAGTTAGGTCGGCTCCACCACAATTAACATGCTGTGCTGATCCAGTATTCCTAAAGTTATAAACAAGAACACTACATCTGCAAGTACAACAGTTTGTTCTTGTTCTTGCTTGCTGAGTTGTACAATCGTCCTAGAAAGAACATGCGCATCGTCTCAAGTACCGAGCAAGAGGACACTCATGGCGACGAGGTTGATATTCAGGAAGGCCTTTCTGGGTATCAGGGAGTAGTCGGAACAGGAGATGCAAAGGATTTCAGTGGTGTGTGAGCCGCGCCGCCTGTTGTCGCATTTGATGTCGCTGGTATCTGTAAGTTATGATGTTAGCGGGAGAAAGACCAAGATGAAATACACATAACGTATCCTGATGACCGAGTATTATGGGTCATTGCTTTTGGCAAGTGAGATCTTCGCCCAGGTCTGCTTCCAGAAACTGCGCCTTGTCTCTTCGATGCGGCTGCTCGGCTCTCGGTTTTGCCCCTTTAGTGCAAGGCTCGCTCGCGTACCACCGTGGTCTGGTAATGAATCTTTCCGCTCGCTCTGCCCCTCTTCGCTGCTGGGATCTCGTACGCCTCTCCTTTCAAAACTTATAACAACTTTAGATAGCGCCACTTACTACAGTACACCACGACGACGTTGCTAACCTTCATACTTTTTCACCACGATGAAGATAAAACAGAACAGCAAGTAGGTAGTAACATCTAGCTGTAATATCCGTAATTCGTCTCCTGCAATGAATTCGGTTTTGACTAGCAAATTCTTGACAAGCAGATTTCCAATGAGGATGACTTCAACGGCGCAACAGGAGGAAAGAAAAAGAGCAAAAACGCGAAGATTTAGCGAAAGTTAAGACATATGTCTATAACTACAGTAGTAGTCGTTCCTCGTAATATTGTGTACATGTACTTTGAGACTTTACTCGTTGTATAATCAAATTTCATACCCTTCCTGAAACGATTAATGAGAAGCACGGGCTACAAGTACGACTTCAAGGTTAGCGACCTTAGTCTCTAAAAAATGGTAGCGGAGCAAGCGGCGCAGGCAGTTCTTCCTCAGCACGGGTCCGAAACGCAGCAAAAAATCCACTCTCTTGATGGACTAATCGAGATTGTAATCGCACGCCGAATGGCAAATGACGATATCGAAAAAAGTGAGAGGGAGAATATTGTAGGTCACTGGTGTTTCGGTAGATTTTCATTAGGTAGTGTAATCTATCAGAAGTTGTTGTTCTCTCCATTTAACAACTACTTTCAAGAGTTTTTTTTGTGCGGGTACATCAAGCGGAAGAAGCATTCTTGAAGAAGATGAACAAGGCAGTGCTATTCGACTACATCAGGTGAAGATAGACATGGCAAATATTCAACTTCACACGAAAGATGCTACTGCTGGGCAGATCACATTTAATATCATGTTGAACATGAAGGAAAATCGAGCAGCATCAAAGTAACACACTTCATTGCAAATTATCGCTTGTGGCATGAATTTCGATAAATGATGTGTTCAGCTGGACTCTGACAGTGCCTAAAAATTCAACGAATAGAAACGATGAGAGTGCTAGAAGATGTCAACAAGAATGCTAGAAGATGCCAACAAGAACATGCAAGTGCTGCACAAATTTGAATCCAAATAGAAAAGAGACGAGAGATGGCGAAGCAAGTATTAAAGGGACGGACGAAAAGGAAAAGTAGAACAAAAAATAGTGTACGGAGTGTGTGTGGGAGTCAGTGAAACGGAAATAAGCAACATGGGGTGCTAGAAATTCATCTTCTCTATCAAAATAAAGCGCCTGCCCCCCCTCCCGGCTCACCCTCACGTAGAAGAAGCAGAAAGAGAGAGAGAAACGGTTAGACAAGAACGCTGGAGCGATAACGCAGCGAAAAGCCGGACCATGGCTCTTTTGTCCCTCCAGTTAAGGACTATTTCTACAGCTGCTGCTTTCTTTGATGTCATTGCGTTTTTATTCAAGCTGAGTGAATCTGTTTCAGCTTTGATTCCTTCTTACTAGTGTTAAGCTACCTCTAGGCTTTGATTGCAGCCAAGATGGATTCCTTTTTTTCTGCTGAGTTTGTTGTTGTAGTATTGAACAAAAAGAAAGGCCCCTTGTTGCATTGAAACAAATCTACCAATGAATATCTTTTTCTTTTTGTTGTGAGACGGGTAACGGTAAGTAAACGTATGAAATATCGTCTGAGATTAGTTATAGTCGTGATCATTTTCAGCTCAATGTGAGCAAGACTATTTTTGCTGCTCTCTTCTTTTATCACTTCTGTTCCGGTTCCTTCGCGGTGACTGATGCAGTTAAAAATAGAGTAATTCTCTTCATCCAGCACTCTTACTTCTGTATTTGTCCCCTCAAAATTTTAGATGGCGAAGGTCGTCGTTTCAAAAATTTTAGACTACGAATGTCAACATCATTGTTTCAAGAAATGAACCCTTAGTATTAAGGACTTGAAGAACTCCTCAATCTCAAGAACATCTTTTTCTTTTATAAATACATCAAAACAAGAACATCAGAGCAAGAACATCAGAACAAGAATATCAGAGCAAGAACACCAGAGCAAGATCATCAGAACAAGAATATCAGGACAAGAACATCAGAACAAGAACATCAGAACAAGAACATCAGAACAAGAACATCTGAACAAGAACATCAGAACACGAACATCAGAACACGAACAACAGAACACGAACAACAGAACAGCAACATCACCCTTTTCTTTTATAGATACAACAGAAACACTCACACAACTACAAGAAGAGCCAACAAGATGGCTGTGTCGATACTTATGAAGTTCTGCTTGTGTAGTCTAGCAGCCTCCATCGTCCTCGTCCCTTCTTGGTTTGTCGTCACGCCACTAGTCACCGCAATCCATCACAAGACGAAGAAGAACGAAGAAAGTGCCAACGCATTTTTGGCCTTAATAGCCGCAGATGAAAATACTGAAAATCCTCCTGATGATCCTAAAACTGTTGAAGCGCCTTATGGTCTAAGATGGAATCCATCTGCATTCGGCGAAGGTCCACCTCCACCCGGCGAAAGTCCACCTGCACTGGTTCTCGAACCCCCAGCATCACTTAAGCCGACGCGGATGTTTGCCAACTTGCGGCATAAAGCCGGCAGATGGCTCCGCAATTCGAAGTGTTCACCTGAAAGGCAACAAGAGGCCGTCGCAGCCTGGTGCCCACGACTGAATCCGATCGAGTGGAACGGCTTCTCCCCCCTAAAAAATACACAGGCCGCCTCTCTCGCGGGTCCTCCCCAACAAAGAAGTGAGGAATGCGCGACCGCGTTAATATACTCGGCTTTAAGGTTTCTGGAGGAAATCCATCCTCTATAACGCATCTATTGGGTTCGTATTCTACGTAGGAATCACGGAAACTGTAACCACTCTCAAGATGCTGCAAAGGACAATTAGGAGGATGAATTCCTTCCGAAACATCTAAACATAAAACATGAAACTTCACCTACTAAAGGTAAGAGTACTATCATAGTTCCTTGTGATACTGATACCTCCCCTCGTGGCGTTTTCTTCGGTTACGAGAATGAAGCCGCATTTACCGAGACGCTGAATCAGGCTTACAAACAGGTGAAAGACGCAGGCTTGGATTTGGAACTCCAGCTTATGCACGGAAATATTTTTTAGAACTGGTAGGTATTGAAATTGGAAACTGGGTGCACTAGACTACATTTCTAAATATGAATATTTGTATCATGATCAATGGACGAAGATGGAGTATAAGTAAGTCGAACTTCTAATAAAGCGATGCGCCCTGTAGGGTCCCGCGTGAAAGGGTTTGGATACAACTTGTATGTTCGGGTCGTGGTTCCGATGCTGTTGACGAAAATAAGCGGACGAGTATGGTGGCCCTTCTACGAGTACGTTGCTAGCAACTTCCACGCGAATTTGGTCGCGAACGGGATTCTCCGACATGCTTATGAGTAGTTTGTTCTTCATCTTCCTTGCGCACTGCCAACCTTCAATTTCTAGCCATGCTGCCGCTTTTTCGCGATAGGAGTTTCATTCATTTGGTAGATAGGTAATTGCTGGTGAGAAATTGAAGAGCGGTCGTGCGCCCTTTTCTAATGTTTTAAATTTGATGTTGTCCAGGGTACTGAGGATGCCAAGAAGCGACAAGAAGAATGTCAACAAAGAGAACGTGGCTGGACACATGCGCTTCTCGAAGCAAAGGAAAAGGCAAGGCAGGCTCGGTTTATTTGGCATTTGCGGAAGTTATGCGGAAGGCTTATCAATGAGTAGATCACTAAAACAACTCATCAGGGTCATCAGGGTACGGCCAGCTTCAGACACGCTCAACTCCGTCGTGCTCTTGGATATTCCGATGATGAGTAAGAGCACTACTTTCTTTCAGTCTTTTACTTCTAAGAATGCTAGACTTACGCGCTCGGTAGCACTCACCCCACCAGAATCGTCCACCCTCTGCACGCACGTCCCCCGCCATTGCGTGGCCCCGCTTGCCCGGCGCCCTCCCTTCGCGAAAACTGTCGGGTGGCGTTCAGTTGATCGGTGGAACAGCACAAGGGCCGGGCGCCTGGCGGCATGCGGCTACTGAAAGGGCACGCCTAGAAATGGCAGACCCGGGGGCCTGCTGCTTTTCTGTTAGGTTTGGCACCTTTGCAGAAGGCTGAAGCGTTTGGCCTTCTATTGGTCACGGTCTGAATCTTTGAAATTACGACAAAGACCCACACGACCCGAAGGACCAAGGTCATCAAAGTGACCAAGGCCGCCAGGTGAATCAGGTAACCCATCGGGCCCATCCTCAGCGCGTTGGCCTCAGTTGGCGGGGCTTCGCTGGTTCTCAGGTGGCCGCTAGCAAACTCAGCCGGGGCGCCATCTGGCCGCCTGGCGGGTTTACCGTTGCGCGTGTGCCTTCTGGCTTCTCCTCTCTCTCGTTCGTTGTTTCAAGTCTCTCAGCTTAGTCAAGGACAAAGCGCCACCGTAAAGAGCTCGGGGAAGCCTACAGACCTAAACGCACCCGGCGCCAAAGTCAATGGCGGGCCTTCAACGTTTCCAGGCAGGAAAAACTGGGCATCTTCATCACTGTAGCTGGGTCCCTATCGTCGTGTCAGTTCTGATAAGTTCAGAGCGCGCATAAAGATCGTCGCGGGGTATCTATTCTAGTGGTGAGCCCCATGCGGTCTGGCGTGTATCGATATCCACCCAGTAGGCTTAATCAGGTCCAGAAGAGTTTCCACATAGGTGGCCGCGTGTGTGAAGCTGATGGCGATAGTGTAATGGTATCCATATGAACGCGGGGGACTTTCTCGACCATTATACCCCAAGAAGCGGTGGAGACAGACGAGACTCCCTCGCAGCCCCAAGGAATAGATACGCAGAGGGACCAAACCAGCCAGAGGGCATTAGCCTCGGGCTGTAGGTTCAGTCCCATTAATTTGCATCAGCGCCGCCGGCTTAGCAGCGTTTGCTCTTGTGGTCCAACACTTTCAAACTTCTAAAGTTCGCCTATCTCGAAGAAACTGGAAGGCTTTGTTGCTAATTTTTTTCAAGTTCTTGTAAGGCCCTACAGCCTTCCAGACATTACGCCCCTGGCAGGCTTGTCCTTGTTATTGTGGTGGTGGTGTTACTGCGTAACACCCACAACCTAAACTGCATGCATTTTCGTGCTGTTCGTATGCGCGTGGTGGTATTGTACTGACTGGCCATCCATAGATAACCGCCACGCGCCATCATCTTAAGGGGATTCCCTTTGGCATAAGGATCCTGGCCGCTATGATCATCATCAGAAGACCCCGAGCCTTGAGCCTTATAGAATTCACATCAGTCAGCCAGAACATTCAGAAGGAGGAAGACGAACGCAAGCGGAGAACCAACAGACCAAGAAGGAAGAGCCAAACGATTCAACTCAGGGAATGCGGAGCGCCGAGCGATTTGCTTGGGCCTTGGTCTTCATGCGTAACCGTTCACCGCTCTTCGATAATGCAAAAACTCTGCCACTTTCGCGCACTCAAGCTGAGGCCCTCGGCTTTTAACCTCTCACGCAAAGGCTGAACTTAAGCGCCAGGGCCGCGCGTTGTCGGCTTCAGGCTGTCTGAAGACTCGAAGGCATTGCGTCCAGTTTTTTTTTTTTCTTTCTAAATTTTACCCGTCAGAAACTTTACCACTTTCTTCTGTGGTTTCAGATTTGAAGCACCGACCTAAACTCTTTCAAAATCTTAAAGCTTGCAACTTTACCCAAAAAAATAGACTTTCTGAAGCGCCAGGGTAGCGCGCCACTGGAACGCGCAGCGGATTCATGATGTAGGTTAATAATCTAGGCTAATCATATAGGTTAAAAATATATTTGCTGACATTCTGGATTTGATACTATAGATTTGACAAAATATATTTACTAGTATAGATTTAATAGCATAGCTATCAGCTTCTAATAATTTAATAGTGGAAGTTTATTGTTGGACCGCAAGAACGCAGACAGTGACAGCTAAGTCTTGGCAGGTTTGCATCTCGTGGAGAAACGTCGAGCAAGGCTCCGAGCTTGATGCCATTGCTTCATATCATTGGGCTGACAGCCTGAGGCAGATGGCCCCTTCGGGTATTCGTTCTGGGGTTGCCGGGAAGTCTACGCGGCTTCGCTGGGTTTCATGATTATAGGGAACGCCCCGCGCGCTCTTGTAGGTGGCTTCTTCTCATCACTATAAGCCCCGCGCGGTCGTCTACGTTGGTACCCGTGTAGACCTACGTGGGCCTTCTTGGTGAGATGGATGCGCGTCGTATGAGGCTGGGGCGTGTTTTGAGAGGGTGCTTGGATGGTTTTCGTGCGCGGCTTTGAACTGTTCAAAGCTGACACAGGCAGGATCGATGGCACGGACATGGATTCAGCTACGGGCGTGCGTCGTTTCATCTATTTAGAGGCGCTGTGCCATCTGGAAGCGCTGGGCTATCAGGAAACGCTGGGGGCCCTTGGGTTGTTGGTCGTTTGTCGCTTTTGGACCTTGATGCGCTGGGGCCTACAGGTTTCTTGGAAGTCTTTCCGGTGGGGCTTTGTCGCTGCTTGCGACTGGGCTGAGAGATTGAAGCCAACGCTGGACATTTTCTACCACCGAACGAGAGAGAAAAGAAACCAGGGGCGCCCGCGTCCATGATGCTAAGCTTGTCAGGCCTTGGGGTAGTGTGCTGGCCCAGATTGTTAGAGGCTGGCTCATGAAGGCTTTTCACCTATGAAATCGCCGCGGGCTTTGTCACTCGGTTGCCCCTTGTTCTTAAATGAACTGGAAAGCGGTGGAAGCTGTGGCCCTTATCGTGGCCAGCCTGTCTATCTTAGGGAGGCCGTTCGCCTATGAGGTCGCTTCTGTGCTTCTCACTCGGTTGGCCCTGAGTCTGGGGGGTTGTGGCAGTCGTGTCTTGCGGTGGCTTAGGTTATGGGGGTTGTGTCCTAAGTTGTGGCGAGTTGTGGAGGCTGTGCGCTAAGTTTTATGAAGCAGCCCCGTGAAAGAGTCGCGCTTTATTCTTTGGCTGTTCGAATTTGAACACCATGAGGCCCCGAAGAATCGCGTGAGCCTTATGGTGTTCAAATTCGAACAGCTTGAGAGCGGGGCTGGGCCTTTTCGTATGCTCTCCGTCTGCGCCCAACTCGCCACAGCTTTCACAGCTTCCACAACTTAGAAAACAGCCGCAACAACTTAGGCCACAACTTGGGCCACCGCTCCCACAACTCTGACAACCCAGGGCGCAGCTTCCGCAGCTTTCCAAAGCTTGAAAGTAATAAAGTGCAGCCTTTTCGTAGGGTTTTGGCTTTTCTAATAGTCTCAGACTTGCTGCGATTAGTCTTGATTTTGCTGTGACTAGTCTACTTAGACGAGTCGCGAAATTACTGCGACTCGCCTCGTCATTTCTTGCGGCTGCGATTGGTCATAGCCTCAGTCAGTCTGACTGTGACCGGCTTCAGACTTGTTGCGACGGGCTTCAAACTTCTTACGAATGGTCTCAGACTTACTGCGACTGGCTTCAGACTCACTGCGGCGGGCCTCTCAGATTTGCTGTGACTGGTTTCAGGCTTCTTGCGATTGGTCTCGCGCCCGCTCACTGTGACCGGCCTCGGGCTTGCTGTGGTCAGTCTCGTACCGCGTTCGTCGGTCTGTTCGACTCTTAACACCCTCAGAAGCTGGCGCCTGTGTATTGTATTCTGATTGTGTTAAGATTCGAACAGCCAGACAAACTCAAGCAGAGACTAGGCGCGGCAAGTCTGAGACTTTTAGTTTGGGGCCGTCGTTGTAAGTTTGAGACTAGTCGCAGGACGCTTGAGACTAGTCGCGGGAGGCTTGAGACCCGTCGCAGTATTAAGTTTGGGGCTAGTCACTAGTCCCAGCACTTTTGAGACTAGTCACAGCAATCTTGAGACTAGTCGCAGCAATTTTGAAACTAGTCCCGGCAGGTTTGAAGCTGGTCACAGTAAGAAAGCTTGAAGCTAGTCCCAGCAAGCTTGGGGCTAGTCGTAGTAACGGCCACAACCGCCACAACTCGGACGCAACTCGTCGCAGCTTCCACGGCTTCGGAGTAATAGGGCCAGGCTTTTGCGTAGGTGTTTGGTCTTTCTAAGAGGTGAAAGACCCCAGCCGCCTGCAGCCTTAACTATGGCTGAGGCGTTTGGAGTAGCGCCCCTCTGCCAACATTTACTTTGCCTCATGTTGACAGGCTATAGAGATGGCCACTGCTCTATATATGCGGCCTCTACGTTTCCCGACGGTACCCCCTCCATAGGCCTCTCTTATTGTAACGAAATTCCGAAGCAGAAGCCCCCGAGATAATCGCGATAACGTTGCAGGACAAAGAGACACTATCTTTGTCGTGTTTTTTCTTCGAGATGAATCCTGATCAAAACGGGGGGGAGACGGGGTATTTCCAATGGTATGATGACATAGCCGCGGATGTGGGTAAACAAAATGGTGGAAAAGATCCGATAATCATCCGACAGGTTGAGGTGTCTGAATTATAAAAAGTAAAAAACAAGTGATCGAAAATTAGTTTGGATGAGATGAATGAAAATGATCAATATCAAGCAAGTAATGGAAATGATTAAGCTGTGAGTTTTTTATTGTTTTTTTAGCTGTCTATCTCCCGAGCAGCACATTGACCTTTGCTGTTCTTGATCTACTCTGCGAATTAGGCTTACCTGAATTTCGACTGATGAACAATCTTCAACTTGTATGGAGGACCTCACGGAGTGGGAATTTGTATAGCTGAAATATGAGAATGTGCCTCAAGGGTCATTTTTCGACAATAATGGAACTACTACATCACTCACATGTATTTGTTGACTGTGCCAGCCATCCAAATGACACGCCTTGTTCCATGAACAACGTACCAAAATGTCACGAAACCAACTGTCTCTCGTCTTGCAGTGCATTCTACTAAACAACAAAGAGCAACAGCAGAACATAAAAAAAGGAATTTTGATGCCGCCGACCCATATAAATGGGAAGGTCAGGGGGCCACGGATAGTTTAAACGATGTCAGATTGATATACATTCTGAAGACTCAAGACGCTCAACTTAGCACTTACACGTTTCATGACCATCTTCAGAGGCAATGTCTTAGTTGGACTTGGTGTGGCGAGGACGCACATTCTGGGTGGAAAGGTGCAAAGGTGTTTGTCAAAGATGCTAGGAGGGACGCAGAACACGTTTAGACTTAGAGAGTTAGAAATGCTTACACTTCCATTCGCCTGGGCGGCTGATCCACCTCTGTCGATTGTGCTATCTGAAAGGCTCATCTAGATGATCACCATGATCATGAACAGAGTAGTTTATAGCTGATAACTGTTAACGACCGTAGCAGTACACATACAAGCTGTTGACCGCCCGAACAGAAGTAGGTAGAAGCATGGCCTCTTTGAGTCCAAAACTAAAAAAAAAGGAAAAGCGTTTTTTTCGATGATGTTGCGACTACTAAAGACAAGAACTAGTACTCATCTAAAAATTGTATTTTCTTTGTACTATGTGTATGAGGAGTGCATGTAGTTTAGCTGTTGGCCATGGCCCAAGTATTACGATGAGCATAGACGTCATTTGATCCAATCACTGTTGACAAGCTCTGAGTATACCAACATGATTTGTTTATCATTCATCAAGAACATGCTGATCCAGTATTCATAAAGTTAAACAAGAACACTACTACCTCTAGAAATAATACAACACCCAGTTTGATTTTACTTATTATTCTTGCTTACTGAGTTGTATAATCCCAAAAAGAACATGCGCATCGTCTCGAGCACCGAACAAGAGGACTTTCATGGAGACGAGGTCGATCCTCAGGAGGGTCTGTCTGGGTATCAGGGAGTAGTCGGAACAGGAGACGCAAAGGATTTCAGTGGTGTGTGAGCCGCGCCGCCTGTTGTCGCATTTGATGTCGCCGACGCCGATATCTTTAGGTTAAAAAATATTAGAGAATCGAGAAAAAAGTCCCAAAAGTTGTGGTTCTCTATGTAACCGCAACTATTCAGATCTTGCGGTGGATGGATGTGCTGAGCGAGTGAAAGAGAGTCTGCGAGAGGCGAGTGAAGGGGTTTTGAGTAAGGCGACAACGACGCTCCCAGCGGACATCGGATTTTGGGCGGCTGCAATTCAGGAGGAGAACCTCCGTCTTTTTTTACTTCTGTATTGTCTCGTTTTGCAGTTTGTCCATTCATATTTGATGTCGCCGACGCCGATATCTTTAGGTTATGATGTTGGCACGAGGGAGTAAGACTAAGTTGAAGTAATCACTTACACATAACGCATCCTGATGACCGAGTATTATGAGTCATTGATCTTGGTTGGTTGTCGGTGAGATCTTCGCCCAGGTCTGCTTCCAAAGTGCTGCGGCAGTCACCGCGAAAAACTGCGCCTTGCCTCTTCGATGCGGCTGCTCGGCTCTCGGTTTTGCCCCTTTATTGCAAGGCCCGCTCGCGTACCACCGTGGTGAAGGGTCTTTCCGCTCGCTCCGCCCCTCTTATCTACTGGGATCTTGTGCGACTCTCATTCAAAAATTTTAGATAGCGCCATTTACTACAGTACACCACGTTGCCAACATTCATATTCACCACGATGACGATCATAAGGCTTTTGTCCCTTCAGATAAAGACTATTTCTACAGCTGGTGCTGCTTTCTTTGATGTCATTTTGTTTTTATTCAACCTATATGAATCTGTTTTAACTTTGATTCTTTCTTACTAGTGTTAGGTAACGACCTCTAGGCTTTGACTGCAGCCAAGTTTGATTCCTTCTTTTCTGCTTAGTATCTATGTCCTTTGTTTGGTCTTCCGTTTTGTGATTCTTGTAGTATTCAACAAAAATAAAGGCCTCTTGTTGCATGCTTAGTTTGATTGTTCCATGGTCTTCGTTTTGTGATTGTCGTATTAAGTAAACAATAAGACCCCCTCTTGCATTGAGGCAACTCTATTCTGCATCCGCATCATCTTCATCCACCCCCTTTTCCTTTTTGTTATCATGAGACGGGTAGTTATACACTCTTGATGACTGATGCGGAGTCTTTCTTGTAAAGGCTCCCTGTGGTCCTTGTTAGTTAGGTGGTTAATGATAGCAGGCGCTTCGCAGTGGATGCCATCGGCTAGGGTGCCGAATTCTTTAACATTCATAAGCAAGCCTCTACTTTTCATTGCTACTAAAGTAGAGGAAGGAGCAAATATAGTACTTAGTGAGGCAGCTCTCATAGTCATTGAAAACAGTCGAGCTCCACCACGAAGGGGCCGACAACGTTGTTGTTGTGACGATGCGACAAGGCCTAGCGGCCGCCCATAGCCAGAATACTAATCTCGTGTTTATCAGCCTTCCGAATAGGGCTGCGATGACAATCTATGAGAACTGGCTTGAGGGCATGCTCGCCTCGTGGGGCGGCGCGCTCGTCAAATCCGCGCGCGTCAATATCGATCAGGTGGAGGGGAAACGCACGGAGGCATCAGCGAACTAACTTGAACGGGATAGGTTGGTAAGTGGTGGGGTGTGGTCGTTGAAATGCAAGGGAATAGAGGAAAACAGACTCAAAGTAATTATTACAGTCTGTGTGTCGTTAAGCTCCTCTTGCTTGTCTAGTGATTTTTCGAAATTATATATTAGCAACTATCAAAATGTTTCGTCTCCACACCATCTAGAAAGAGAAATAAGTGCCTTTCCTCGTGAACAATGTATACGTACAAATTCGGCAGGAACTACAAGAGGACAACAGCGTCTCTTCATAGAAGTGGGAGTGGAATCTACTAAACAATAAAAACAAGAGCAAGAACGGCAACATACAACGAATAATCATGCCGGCGACCCATATAACTGGGAAGGTTTGGCCACGGATAGATTAACTGAAGATGGCAGATTGTGCATACTCAACCGAACATCTACATGTTTCGTGTCGATCAGAAGCAATCATGTTTTTGCCGCGACAAGGACGCAAATTCTCATGGATGTACCTCAGAGGCACATGTGTGTTTTCAAAGATGACCCAAAAAGGCACAAGCTGCGAGGAGAGACCCAGAACACGCTTAGAGAGCTACTTAAAAGTACTTACATCCTCTCCATTTTCCTGGGCGGCTGATCCTCTGTCTATTGTCCTATCTGAGAGACTGATGTTCAAGATGATCATCATGTTAATTTTTCTTATGATACTAGCTTCAACGGAAGACGAAAGTAAAAGTGTAGCCGTGAAAAGGATCATATAGCGATAAAATAATAGTATATAAATAGAACAAGCTAGGCCTAGCGCTAGATATAAAGCTTGAGGATAAGATACGGATATAGTTAGTCCTACTTCTCGCGCTGTGCACGAGTTTGGTGAACCGGTACCCTGGAGCGAACTAGTGGGTGCACATAGCGCGAGAACCGAGCACTTCTCTGAGGCACGCACTGGCTTCGGCCGCCATAGATGAGAAGACCTCCAGGGCAGAAGGACGAACGCGCGGCGCCTAAAATAGTAATAGACGGATCCTAATATAAACGTGGCCACTAGAATTTTATTAGAATTTTGGAATACCTGACTTTTTTGATTTTTTGTTTGCTAGTTAGGAGTGCTCCACCGATCTTATGATACTAGCTTCAGTTAAGTGAACGAATTTCGCGAGGAGACTTATCTCCTTCTTCTCATCCAAAAGAAAAAGTAAAAAAAGGGCTTTCTCAATTTCGTTGTCGCTAAGGAGCTCAAGCTCTGTTATGAGCTGCTTGCTGAGCATAAAAAGTTGAACATTTTGTCATCAGTACTGGGATGAGCATAGACGTCATTTCTGTTTTATCCAGTCATTGTTGACCAGATGTGATTAGACCAACATGGTTGTTTTCTCAACATTCATCATGCTGATGGAGTATTCATGGACTGCGATACATATGAATTTGAATACTTAATATTTGTTCTATCTTGTTTACTGAAGAGAGGTATGGAATCTTCATAAAAAGAAACATGCGCATCGTTTCAAGTACCGGACAAGGCCTTCAACATGAAGAGGTCGATCTTCAGGATGGTCTTTCTGGGAATGAAGGAGTAGTAGGAACAGCAGATGCAGAAGATTTCGCTGGTGTATCAGCCGCGCCGCCTGATGTCGCATTTGATGTCGCTGACATCTTCAAGTTATGTTGTCAGCGGGAGTAAGAATACCAAGTTGAAATCCAAGTACATAGCCTTGTATCTTGAGGAATGGTTGCGTGGTACGAAGTGATCTTCGTACAACAAATAGACCATGCCGCAGTTCGGGAATGTTGTTACAACTCTACAAAAATGAATTTTTATACACCTTGACCTTCCTGGCCATCGCTATAATGTAGTACTACTATAAAAATATTATGATCATCTAACCAAGGATGTGGACCTTTCTGCTTTCCAGCGGGCACAAGCTTTACTGGAAAAACCGCTTTCACCGACAGTGGCAGAACGCGAAGCTACCATGACGATAGTAGAAGATGGACGAGAGCAACATCAAGATCTTCAACTTCAAAATGGTGGAGCACAAAAAGCGCCTAAGAACAAAAAGAACACGACATCAGGTCGCGGCAATAATAAATCCCAACCGTCTACTTCTGGTGCGAAAAATCCAGGAGCCTCTAATACGAAGATCATGGATGACCATGAGCTCCGAAGTGGATTGGCCACGTCCTCTTCGATTATGACCACACTTCGTCATTCGTCATTCTTATCTTCTATCACAAATTGAGAAATAAAGGAGTCAAAGGTGAAGTGAAGTAGATTCTTTTGATTATTCCCTCTCCTACCCTGATAAAGTGTGTGATTTTTTTTCTGCAGGGTTAGTTAATTTTTTTTCTGCAGGGTTAGTTAGTCTTTGGCTAATCTCAGTCTAGTCAACACTCGTCATTATATTATCTTGTACCACAGTTCATTTTTTTTGAGTTTTCTCCTCTCTAATTGCTAAGGAGCTGGAGAAGCAGCGCTAAAAGTTGACTATGACGCTGAAGAGGATGTGGCGCTACAACGCGAGTATGAGCGACAAAGCGGTGCTGTCGTACCACCTGGATGTATGAGAACAGGAAAAGTAGACTCAGTGGAAGGAATGTTGAAACTGCGTAGTGGTCAGCATATCATCACGCTTGCGTATCGTACGCGGTAGTGGTACTAGTAGTTGCCTTCACTATGAGCTATCAAGAATGAATCGAAGACTGCTCTCATCAGCCTACTACGTATTCAACATCAGAAGATACTCTAATTTCTCCGAACTACAGGCATCTGGAGAAATGATAGTGGAACAGTCATTCTCGTTACGGGACATAGTGAGCGATCTCGACTCGTTTACCCAAGGTCTCAAGCAAAAGAATCCCGCTTTTTTGATTATGGTGATTCTTGATTCTTAATGTGGATAATGAGCAGCACCTCGCTGAAACTGTCTCTACATATTACGTACTGGCATGGCCGTGTCACTACTGCTCTCACCAGTGAGTACCATTACTGGCATTGTCGTGCCAGTGGTCCTACCAGTCGTGAGTTTTTTTTTCTAGTAGTGTGAACATGATCTACAGGTAGAATGCTACGAGGAAATACGTGGCGAGTCTTCTACTTTTAGACATGCTATTTGAAACTCTAAAAAGAAGCCTGGTATACCGAGACAAGGTGCGTCGTCCAAGGAAAAGGACTACATTAAGGCTCAAGATAGAAGACGAGTACGAGTAGCTTTCGTTTTTCATTTGTTAGTGGGTATTTGATGGTTGATTCTCGACTTCATCATCTAGCACAGAATGGAGTAGCGGCTGCGTCTGCAGTAAACAACTCAATTATTTGGAGCGAGAAGCGAACAGCAATAAATTGTTGGTTGTTATTGATTCCTTTTTCAATTCGTCATGGTACTAGACGTAGATGATTTCCGAAGAAAGAGACTCATTCTCATGTGCAGTTGTACTAGGATCATTGTGCTGTGTATTCATGCCTCCTTCGAATCATTATGATCGTGCTCCTGCTAATCACAGTGAAGAGGCCGTGAAGCAGAAGATGGACCGAATTCAAGAGCTGGAGACTGAGCTGCAGAAAGCGAAGAAAAATTCATCCCGTCACGCGAAGCGGCGGACATCTTCCTCAGGAGGAGGCATCGTGGTAAACAATTCTCCAATTAAGGCGATTTGTTTTTCATCAAGTATCCCTTGTTCATAGGCATCTTGATTATCTTCCGCTTCCGGGGTGCGGGTGTGAAGACCAGGATATATTTTTTTAAGTGCCCCTATATATTAAGCTTCTAAGAAACTTGTTGGGGGTAAGAACTTATAAGTGCGGATAATCAGGATAAATGCCACTACTTCTAAACCAAGCGCAGCCTCATCTCGAGAACACGTCAGAGGTTCAGGAGGTAAGGGACAACAAGACGACAGTTTTTCAGTAGACGTGAAGATGGAGGACGCTTTCGGAGATGGGTACACTTGTTTGGACGAAGACGATCATGATGAAGCTGTTGGAGCAAGTAGGAGCGCCACATCTCCTTCAAAAGCAAAGGTTGAAAAAAACAATAAGAAAGGGCCTGCAGGAGCTGGAGGAGTAAACAACAAGGGCAATGGCAAGAATCCACCTAGAAGAGGTCGTGCAGTGTCCTCGAATAATCCGGAGAATGAAGCAAAGGTCAATCGGCTCCAAGAATTAACGAAGCAGCGCGTTCTTGATTTACGAAGAAAGCAAATGGAGGAAAAAAAAGCCGAAGAAATACGGAAGGAGCAGGAACGAGAACGAAAAACAAGCATACACTATGGGAAGGTGGTAGAGGGGATGATCATTCGTGAATACCTACAGTTTTTTCCTTTACAGGAAATGCTCCTGTATTTCAAATGCGCCAAAGACTTACGTCGATCATCAAATGGGTTGCTTCGTCCACCTAAGTACTTAACATCAAGGTGATCAGGAAAGGGGAACCAAGGATCAAGAAAAGTAGCGAATTTGAAGATAGCCGCTCTAAGAACAGGAGCCAGCTGTTAGCGTTCTGACAAGCCAGCAAGAGTCTCAGAACCGTGTGGCAGAACGAAAGCGTCAGCAGGCAAGAGAAGCACACGAGCGAAAGAAGATGGAGTATATTATCATGCTTCTTCTCTTTTAAAGAAAAAGTTTGTCTTCTCCTTATTTTGTCCTTTTAGTCTTCGTTTCTTCCGTCCTGATTTTCTCCTATCTATCCTCTTCCTCTCTTCTATGCCTTCGTATCCTCTTCTGTCCCAAAATATCCTTCTAGGTCCGAAGCTTTAGAACGAGAACGTGACATATTGCGTGAGAAAGCTCGAGAGTTGCAGCAGCGGACGGAAGAGCGTTTACAAGCGCGTACTAGAGAAGAGATAGAAAAACGACAACAAGACCACGCAGATCGGGCCACTAAAGAACACGAAGATTATGAGAGGTTGCTTTATGTTGAGTCCGTTGGGAAGAACAAGATGAAGATTGCGCGAGTGTGTTTTTTCGAAAAAATAGGCCGTTTGCATAAAAATTTGCTGTTCTTCAGTTTTTAGGTCTTGAGGATAGTCGACATGGAAGTAGTGATACTTCGAAGATGAGCCGCGCGGTGTCTAGACATCATCTCTAATCTCAAGTGTCTAGACATCATCTCTAATCCCAAGCGTCTAGACATCATCTCTAATCCGAAGTGTCTAGACATCATCTCTAATCCAAAGTGATCACGAAGGAGCTAAAGGGACAGCTACTTGCCGAAGCTCAGCGATTGTTACGACTACTGAACTTCCATGATTCCAAACGGTAACAATTTGTTGAGTATTTCGTTTTCCACCGATGAAGATATGAATTGAACCCATATGCAGCATACACTCGAGGCTACTTGTTCGACGAAGAGATATTGAACATCATGCCAAGAAAAATCTAGTACTGTAGAATTACAACATCATGGAACATTATCTAACTTCTTCTGGCTCTAATGCTGGCTCGGGAACGATGTCGGGAGATTTTGACTGAAAACCGGGATAAAGAAGCGCGCGAGCGAGAGGAGAAAGAACACGAGGAACAGCAACGACGGGAGAGGTTGCGCTTTGCTAGAGAAAAATACTCGACAAGATTAAGGCTTGTTGCAGCACACTTGGATCATCATGCAATTGTAAAGCACTAGATAAAACAACCGGTTCGTTTTTACCTCTAGCGTGTAGCCCTTCCAACAATATATGACACGCTGTATCTTGCTCTTCGTCTTCTACTTTTTTCTTTTTCAAGACATCTCCGGACCTTGTGATGCGCATCTGCACGACCGATCTTCTACTAGTACACAGCTAGTAGAACGAATCCATGAATCAAATTCAAAATCAATGATAGAACCAAGGTGACAGCTCTAATCCAACCAAAAGGTGGCGCGGGCCAAGCTAGGACACCTTTGATGGCGGCACAAGTGAGGCAAGACAATCAAGGGGCGCACTCATTTCCTGTGGCTTACAAAACTGGACTAGATCATGTGGAGTCACAAGTAGGACGGGGAAGGGGAACAACAGATACTCGATCATCTTATCACGGTGATCAAGATCACTCTACTTCGGAGAGCACCACTACAACAGGCTACACCAGTACACGAGGAGCATCAAGACGGTCATCCAATGCAACAAGCACTTCTAGAAATGGTAATGGAGCAACTTCAAAAAAGAACTCGACAGTAGACCAAACGCCAGAAGAGGACGACTTTGTCTTTGACTTACATGGAGGACCGCAAATAGGAGTAGTAATAAAGTCAGCAACTCCATCACCGACGACTACAACATCGACTGCACCTGCGGTTGGTGCTGCAAAACCTGGTCGCCCTCCTGGAGGTGGAGCTTTTCAGAAAACCTCTGCTACCTCTTCTACCTCCACAAATCGAGGTGCCGCTCCCAGCTCTTCATCGTCGTCGAGTACCTACAGTGGAGCTGCTAGGAATAGACCTCCTTCAGCGTCCTCGAGTACCTACAGTGGAGCTGCTTCAGGGAAAAAGTTAGCGGCGAATGGCTCAGGAGCAAGGAAGGAGAAAATTGTTAAGGCAGATTCTTGTACTTCATTCCTGTCCATGAAGACCTCTAGCTAGGTAAATGAATGAATGAGTGCTGTGGGTCTACATTTTTTTTTGTCTTTCAAGAAGGGTGATGAATGAAAGATGAGAGGGTGAACTCTGTTTGTGAGATGACGGCCAAGATATCTGTTTGTGCCACAAAGTTGTAGAGCGAGAGAAGATGACCACTCAGAGAACTACGAGGGTGAACTCTTCGCCAAAAGAGACTGTTGATGTTGAAAATATAGACCTCGCTGAACGTGTTCTAAGACTAGCGCTGGCGCAGCAGCGAAAAACGGGATAGAGGTGCATGAAAACTTCGAGCTTATCGGTGGCGGAAATTCCTTCCTCGACGAACAGGATTTAGTTATGAAACATGGTCCTTATCATGGTGACCGTGATAGTGATACTAGGTAGAGTATGGTCTAGGAGCGCATAACTTGCCACGTTCTCATGGTGATAGGCGAATCTATCTCTAATTCCCGCAGTCACCTAGAGAACGAGGTAGAAGAGCTCGATGCCCAACTTCAGAGCCGATTGATGGTCCTGGAACCGGAACGCCAAATAGGCGTTGTGAATCGATCATCGGCTAGTGCTGGTGGTATTAAGGCTCAATTGCTCAGACTGAGACTTGCTGCGCCAATGACAAGAGACTATGTACTTATGTTTCTGGTACGGAAGCGTCTGCCTCTGCTGCATGGATCACAAACAGAGAGTTCAAGAATCAATTATTTGTGTCTTCCTCCCAACACACAATGGGCATGGAGTTAACGGGGGTTGTAATACCAAGAACCCCAAGGGGAAGCTAGCCCTAGCGTCTACTTGCTCGAATAAAAGTAGTGTTCCTTCGTCCTCTTCTAATCCGAGTAGTGTCCCTTCGTCCTCTCGGAGAAATAGCCGACCGACGTCTGCCTGCTCCTCCACAGTCTCCAACGCATCGGCTCGAGGTCAAAACTTAGCGAATGCCGGTCGACAAGTTTTATTAAGGCGTTGGCGTTATTTGTATTCCTTATACTATCTAAATCTATAAATACATGTTGATCTTCTACGAGGACGTCACTGGAAAGAACACTTTCTTCATTTGGTTTATTAGCTCCAACTCTTGCGTCTGGAACTACGAAGATGGCAGATCCTCCACGAAAGTCATCCTCTAGCTCTTCTGCTCCTGCACCGCGCGGTCTGTCTCAACTTGAAGTTTTCGATATGATGATGGCGCAACAACAAGTAGAAGTTTCTAGAGGAGGCGGACATAGAGTTGACGACCTCCACGAGGAAGAAGATGATGCCTTTAGTAATACAGGAGGAGGAGCTGAGAACGAGGATTTTCCAGATATCAGAGAACCACAAACTATGGTAGATGGCTACGGCGTTCAGCCACACACGGTTACCTCAAACGCGGCAGATCGAGATGAAACAGTGCCCTTCCCAAAAGCATTAGCGGCGTTCAAAGCAAGACAAAGTTAAGAACCGTGGATGAACATGAATGTGTCAGCATTTCAACATCCGTAGACGTAGTATGTTGATGATTGGCATGATTTTTACCATCATTGCTGCAGAATTATCGGTTTAAACAACATTGTATAAGTAGCCCTTGTAAGCTAAAGTATAAGAGTGCTAGTGTTAATATTGCTTCACCTCTAACAACCCAATGGACCCGATAACAGCAGTGGCGATCACGTTTCAACATCAGGGCCCCCTGCTACAGGTGCCAGTGTGACTTCGGCAAAAAGAAAGCCTTTGTGGAAGCAAAAACCCATTCCGACGCCATCGACTGACGAAATCATTCAAAACCTCAGGAAAGCTCGCGGAGGGCGCGACAAGTAGTTGTAGCGGATCGGTCAACGTCTAAACTCAAAAAACCTCATGTGCTGCAGTGCAGAGGCGGCATTGATGGGAACATGTAGAACAAGGAAATGCAGATGCACAGAAAAGAGAACACTCGATAGCGAAAATATAAGAAACTCGATTATAGTAGAGAAGCTCGCAAACACCTTTGAAAATGCGATCATGTCTAGTCAAGTATAGCAGAAGTCAAGAAGCAGATCAAGTATCATCAAGAATGCAGTCTTCGATGAGGACACGGTTAACCCAACGTTGGAATTACATCTCAAGTCCGAAAATTTTGCTGCCTGCTAGGAGTACAAACGGGGACACCCCGACAATTTTTTCTTCAGTGAGTCAGATTCAGTCTGTCCGATTATACCGATTCAGGGAGAGGGATCATGTGTTGAACAATATACTTTACACGCTGTTCTTCTTCTCCTTACTAAAACAAATTCGAGCAGTTATTGTACATCTTACTAGTTGGGTCTTCATCAGACAGGAGATGCTATAGTCTTCTTCCGAACAGCCTGGTGACTGGTGTAGAAATGATGTTACTGCTGGTTGTGCACTTAAGAAAGCACTGGCGCTTTATTTGGAGGAACAAGGAACTATAATTGCACAAAATTCTCTGAAAGCACTAGCTCTTTCCACAATAGATTTGATGAATTTCGTTGACAGGCAGGGTCGCAGATGTAGTTGACAGGAGCATTCGATACTACTGCATTCGATAAACGACCTTTGTAGACCACTGAAGTTCTAGAATCTTCAGATCCGGCAGTTATAGTAGAGCAAGAATATGGCTTCAGCAAACGGCTTTGGTGCTACGAGCTCTACTTCGAATAACACTTACAACTTACGCTACTGCAACTCCTGGAGCGAAAGTTCTACAACTACTGGACATGGATCTTCAGTCTTCTGATGTGCAAAAGCTGTACAATTTGGATCTGACTAACAGTAACACAGATCCAGGAACTCTGTAGTCAGCATTCATTAATTCTTACCAAGCGGCGTGTCGAGGAACCTTTTCCGGAACAACAGGGGAAGATTATACTCCCAGCATACTTGCAAGGCGGAGTTATGAACGAGATGGGAGAAGAGAGCATAATGTCCTCTTCTAGAAGAACTTTGTTGAACATATAATTGCAAAATTTTCTAGGCTACATCTCTTACCAGCAGTAATGGCTTCTTTCTAAGTAGAAAATTACTGGAGATTGATATGTACTGCTACTTGTAAGATTGAACTTGAACAAGGATATTATCAAAGCTCACTCTAATTATCCCGCAACAGCAGCAGCCATAGCCAATATGAGTTCACATTACGACCCAACAAAGCACCACGTGGAACAAGGGGAGCCTGTTTCACCGTTAACGAAAGAAGAAATAAAGGCAGACGAGCTCTTTGGTCGGTGGATTATGCGCAGATTCAGCGATGGCTCGATCTTCGAAGGCCGAATAGTAAGCGTGGACGTCACAAACGAAGGAGAGAGATTGTACTTATGATCTACTGTTGATGTGGACGTCACAAACGAAGGAGAGAGATTGTACTTATGATCTACTGTTGATGTGGTGGCTATCTTCTTTGAATTGCTCGTGTACAACTTGCTCCAGCATCAAATCATTGGACGTGTTCTACTTGAATCCAGTGTTTATTGTTCATCTATAACAGATAAAAGTCTACAACTTCTTGAGAAGATCCTCGTATTTGCAGTGTTCACTCGCACAGGTACCTAAGAATTGTCCAACAACTTTAAGTCTACTCAATCAAACAGGTACCTAGTCCAGTACCGAGATGGCGACTTGGAGCATTTGACATTGGAAGACGCACGCCGTTACCTCAACGAAGACTATGAATATCCGGAGAAGGTACTTATGATCATGATACAACCTGAACCTCGATGACAGTTTTCGCAGCATTCTTCTTCATATGATAGAAGATTCTTGTCATTGTTGATGATCAAAGTCACATTTTTTACTTAAGACTGGCACATTGAGACATTCTTCCCTTGTACAACAAAATTCAGATTCGTTGAGGTCCAATACCAACACAAACATCAGAAAACGCGTCCGATGAAGAAGGCTCCTGCAGTAACAAGCGTTAAGTCTGCACCCCCGATGAAGACAGCGAGTCTGGTGGTTGGGGCTGGGTCTGCTTCTGTGAGTGCAGCGGTTTCACCACGAAAGGAGGCAGCAAAAGGCAAACAAAAAGCGCAACCAAAGCAAGGTGCATCTTCATCTTCTTCAAACAACAAGACTGGAGGAGCATCTACTAACAAGACTGGAGCTGCTTCGTCATCGTCATTAGCATCCAAACGGAATAACAAATTAAGGGTAGGCTATAAAGGTGCTTTTGTTGCCGTTTGCTATGGCTCTCCTGAGGGGGACAGCCATAACAAGCGGGAGAAACGAACACCAAAACCCTACCTCTAAACAAAGCCGGCGCAGCCACTTCTAGCTCGTCTAAGGAGTCTTCATCAGCGGCTCCAGGCGGTAGCAAAAAGACCAATAAGCCTAGTACCACATCAACTACTAACACAAGATCAGGAGCAAGAGCATCCAACACGGGTGGTGCATCCTCGAAAGGCCCTGCAGCAAAAGCAAAAGCAGCAAGTGTACCGAAGAAGGCTGCGGCACCTAAAAAGGGCCCCGCATCGAAAAAGGTCGAGCCAACTGCAAAGGCAAAAAGCAAGAGCATACCAGTCCAAAAGAACACCGCGATGAAGAAGAAGTGAAGGACACAGCACTTTTATTAGCGTGAAAAAAACTGTCTGAGCCCCATCAAAGCGTTAACAATTTCCCCACAAGCTCATTATCCGGAGGCTTTCACATGATCTTCGCAACTAGGTTCACATGACGCCATTCATTGAAATCAAAGTGAAGTAGGTCGTCCTCAATTCATATTGATATTTTTTGCAGAAAATAAAAATAAGGTTGTTCGTTGTAACCGTCAGGAATTTTATCCATGTTCGTTGTAACCGTCACTCCATGCCAGCACAGTTAACACGGAAACGATCCTCGTCACATTCCCAAAAATCTGTATCTGGTGTGCTGATCCCCGACACAGAAATAAGAAGTGGTTCACGATTTGAATCAGGATTTGCAGCCTTCAACCTGAAGTTCGTACTTCTTCCGACAGGAGCATATATTCTATTTCATCTATGACACATGCATCACTGACGCGGTTAAGGATGATGCCAGAAGAGTGGATCATCGTTCTCCCTTCAAGTTCAACAGGAACAAGATAAAAATCTGTAAATGGGCGTGAGTGAGCTACTCCCTCTCCGTGACAGCAGAGTTAGTACATCTACACAAGCAACAACTACTACAGGCGACACTCACGGCACGAGCACGGGGCTCGGTCGTCAAATATGATGATCCTCACTATTAGATATAGTACTACGTGATGCAAAGAAAGCATCACGATCCAAGCGACATTTTCGATTTATTTTCAAAATTTGTCCACTCTACCTTGTATGATGAATTCAAGAGTGTACTCTGCTCGTAGATATCTCTCTGCATCTTTAATACGCCGCGTTGTATTTTGCCATTGTTGTAAATGCAGCGTGCATCTGCAAATCCAAATGCACCCTGCTGAAGATTTAATTAACTGAGTAACTAAAAATTGAGTTTGAACCAGAGAATTTACGTAACTTTTTCATCGTTGACGACCGCTTAACGTCTAGAAGAAGAATACGAACAAGATGATGAATCGTGTTCCTCCTTCCCAACGGGGAGTTTCTCTCACTGCCAGTGAGTTGGTTTCTATTTCTTCTCGTTGCGTAGAGGAGGCTATGCAACATGACGAAGGAACCCCCCTCACTGTGGACGACATCTATGCTCCGGGATCACAGATGTACGAACGACAAAGGGATGCCTACGACACCAATGGCTTGCTCGATCCGCCCAGAGCGTGGGGGATGCCGGTATTTTGATCGATGTTAAGTAGACTAAGACTAAGTGCAGGAGGAAATCATGAAGAACACGAGTTGTTGAATAAAGATTGCCCTTTCTGCTACTGCTGTCTAATGATCTATAAACATTTATAGTAGTTTCCAAAAAATTTTGATTTTCGACCATTCACTACTACAACAGTCTTCCGCCTTCTCCCTTTCCGGTTATTTCAACGAGATCGGCTGTGCTTGGCGGTCAGTGGGTCCTACGCTCCGTGTTTGGATGCCGGGTCACGACGCATCTTCTACGGGGATCGAGTATGAAGGAGTAGAACAGGACATTTTAGCAGCTGAAGTCGTCCAAGGAAAAGCGTTTTTGGATGTGGACTACCTCTTAGTCCTATGTACGATATCTGAGGTTTCGTTGCATGCGATTCACGTGGTGCAACAGAACGGGGCTCAGAGGACGCTCATTGGAGGAGGATCTTCAGCTGCTTCATCGACCAGACCTAGAAGTTCTTTGCACGTTACCCGAACCAAGTACAGCATCCCCACTGACGGCGTTAGGATGCTTCGGGTAGCCGGAGACCCCAGGACGAAGAGAATTTTCTTAGGTGGTGAGGATGGCGGGATTTATGAGTTTCGCTATTCTCGGGAGGATGATGGGGGTCGCGGCTTTTTTTCCAGAAAACGGCAAATGTGCGACAAACAGACCATTCGGAAAGCTGGCTATTTGCCCAGTTTCTTGGCAAATTTGTTCAGCGGTTTTGGAGGAAGTGCCTCTGGTGGAAGTGGTGGAACCGTTGTTGGAGGTGCGGGTGGTAGTGGAGGAAGTGGCTCTAGCTGTAGTGGAAATCGAGAAGACTCGCAGACAGTGGAGCAGATGATTGTGGACCCTCAGCGCGAATTGCTCTACGTTTTGCGAAGGGATGTGCTTCTAGTATTTGACATTGCTGCAAAAGTAGTCTCCACGACAACTACGTCATCATCGTCTTCTTCTTCTTCGACTGGTGGTGGAAACAACGGCGGGTCTTCTAGTTCTGCAACTGCTAATGTTGTAGGTTCTTCCACCACTTCAGGTTCATCCTCCAGCAGTGGTTCTTCTATAAAGATGATTTCTCTCCGCGAAGAGCAGGAGTTGATAGAAGACAGCACGCGATGCAACTTCTTGTTTGAGTTCAACATCAAGGACATTCTCGCCAATCTGCGACGCATGAACGTCCCTAGTCTGTTGAACCCGGCAACTGCAAAGGCTCTTCCAACGATAACGTTTCCGGATCCAAGGAAAACGTTCAATGCCAAGGAAATCGGAATGCTAGACTCCATTTTGGGCAGAGACCTGCTGAGTCAAAAAGTCGCGGACGAAGCTCCAGCCGGAACAATGCCCTACAGCATGAGCATGAGCATGAGCAGCGCAACAAGAACCTCTGCTGAAGCTGGATCACTCGGAGTACCACCGACTGCTGTTAGCGCAGCCAGCGTCGAGATGAATGCGGAGAACAGTCGTGCTAGTGCCGTTTTCGAATCAGGCGTCTCGCAAGCAGGATCAGCGGTTTTCAATAGTGCAACGCCGCCGAATGGAGCTCCTTACAGCGAGGACGATGCACGAGCTCAGATTTCTAATGCCATGACGGGAATGAAAGTGCCGAATTCGATTGTCAAGATTTTCCCAATGACCCGAATTGCAGGATGGGAAACAATTGTGCCGTCACAGACAGTGCCGAATGTGAAAGCGCAGATTGCATGTACTCAGACTTCGACATTATTCTAGTGAGAATAACCTTGAAACCCTGTGGATTCTTGTGCTAGTTTCTGTCTAAAATTTTCACATATTCGTAGTCCATTGCTCACTTTATTTCCGTAGCCATTTTGGCTCAAGGAACAGCAGAGTGCTGAAAGCTTCAGAACAACATTCCCATTTCCCAACAAGATCGTTAAATCAATGCCTTACACTCTTTGGCTTTAAAGTTATTTCTGCCTCACCAATCGAAACCTTTTCATCCAGCTCTCGGCGTCGCCGGCCGAAACGCTATGCAGTATGAAGCTTCGGAGTACGTCTTACAAGCGATTTGTCGTGACGGAACCCGAATCTTTTTCCGAGGTTCGTATGTGGTAAAGCTAGTCTTTTCCGCCAGTCGTGCCGCGGCCTCAAGCGGAGGTGCTGGCGTTGGCACCACCTCCAGCTCCAGTTCTTCCTCTATGCCGCCTACCAGTGCAATCTCTGCTAGCGCAGCACACAGATTGCAAGTGGCGCACGGAGCTGGGATCCAGGACACTGGGGAGGCCTTGCAGCATCTAGTCGATGAAGCGCGACGCGCAGGAGCACCAATTGGCGTAGTCTTGCGTGGTCTTAAAGTGGGACATGCGCAAGTGCCGCCAATCGAAATCTTCCCGGATGAGACGAACAACCTACTTCGTGGCGCAACGCCTGCAAACGGAACAGCACTTAACGGAACTTCAGCATTGAATCAGCGAACGCCACGCTGGCTACCCTATTTGGTCAACGAGGCTTTTTCTTTGCATGGTTTGACGCTTTTGGCAGTGCGGCCTGCCGTGAAGAGAAATCTAGCGAAGATCCAAGTAGCCCTCAGAGCGAAAGACGAGGAGGAAAGGAATAGGGTAGAACAACAAAGGAGTGCAAGTGGTGTTCCAGGACCTACATCGTCTTTGCATGTGGTAGGTGAAGAAGGAGGAGGCGGCGCAAATGGCACGAGGATGGGTTCTTCGTCTTTGTTTGGCGGCAATGCTAATGGGAATGGCAATGAAGGTAGCAATGTACCAATGTCGCACCAAAACGCTGCTTCTTCTCCTCTCCATCTAGACCAAACCCTGCTTGATGAGGACGATGAGCTTTGCTCCACACGATTGATCTGCATTTCAACCGACATGCGACCGATTGCGCAGAGGATGGGCGGACGGACTCCATGGACACTGAGAGGCCTGCCAAGCGAGCAATTCGACGTTTTGCCCTTGAACCCAAGAGGCGTGGCAACAGAGGTGTTTTGTCTTGGGGAAGCGCCTTTGGGACTGAAGACCAGTCGTAGAGACGTTGCAGGCTACGGAGACGGCGCAACGGACACGAATTATCACTTTGGAGGTGCTGGTGGTATGCTTAATGGAGGTCACGCTGGAACTCTTGGCATGATGAATTCGCAGGGCAACGCTGTAGGAGCACAGCATTTCTTTAGCGAAGCAGCTAGTGTAGACCGTGTTGGCGCAGGAAACAACGCTTTTGGAAACTATGATACTGCTGCCTCAATAGCTGGTGCTGGTCGTGGAAGTATGAGTACTAGTACTGGTAACGGCTATTTCAAGATTGGTGAAGTTTGCGCGTCAGCGACCGAGCCATCCGCTGTGTTGCATAGAGGTTTGGCTTCCGCGAACAGCACGAGTATGGGCAACGAATACGGCGGTGCGCTGTTTGAGAGGGACGATGATATAAATTTCACTCCGGCGACGCCAATTTTGGCTGCTTCTCATGGCAACCTAAGTAGAGGCGGCAGCGAACAAGTAGGTGGCAGTTTATCGTCATCTGCTGCTTGGCCTAATGGAGGCAATGCTGGTTTAGCAACTTCTGGCGGAGGTGGACTCTCATCTGGAGCTTCTGGCAGTAGCAGTAGCGGTCCTTCAGGAGGTCTACGTCTGAAATCCAGTCATCGTTGGGCCAATGAGACCTTACCCTTTGCCCAATACAACCAGTTAAGCGAACTCTGTAGCCAGCAAACGCTTGAATCGCGACAATTGTATCTGTTTTCTTCCGATGGTTTCTTGAGTTTCACCAGACGACGGCCTGCAGAAGATTTCCTCTCTCTCCTCTCCACGTGGGATCCAGTAACGCAACCCTTGGAGATCGAACGCGGGAACCCTGTAGTGCAGTTTTTCGATCATTACACGGCTGTCGAATCTTTAGCCCTCTGTGTGCAATTAGCAAGTGGGGCATCGAATCTAAGTTCTTCTAGCTTTGCACCTCCAAGTGCTCCCTATGGAGGTGGAGGGTCTAGTTTTGGTGGTGGTGGTGCTACCACTACAGGCAATCTTTTTCCTGGTCTCGTGAATAACCCAGGAATGCTAGCTTTGGCGAATGTGGCGGCTAATACAGCGACACCAGGAGGAATGGGTGGAACAATGCCTCAACAATCCTCTTCGATGCAGAGCTTTGCTTCTTTGAGACGACAAGTTTTCCCAGACGTCGAAGCAACTCAGCATTCTATGACTGCAGGCATGCGCGGGTTGGCGTCCTTGCCGAGAATACGCAGAGCAACTGTCGTCGGAGGAGGTGCAGGACCAGCTGCAGCAGGATCGACGACACCGAGAGGACGTCGCGCTGGAGCCGGATACAATCAGTTTGCTATTGAACCAGTCTCGGATCTGCCAATGGACAACGTCAGCGGAGATCAATTAGCGATCGTGCCTGAGAACACTGGTTCGATGCCTCTAGTACAACAAACAGTCGGCACACAAGTCGGCTATCACCCAGGCTTGGCCGCTGCTGTGAGCGTTGCGGAATATCTGCTGTTTGTGACCGATGCAGCACTTAAAGTTGGAGGGCTGGTCGTTCTGGACGCGACACCTGCTCTGAATGGTGGAGGACGTAATGGCACTAGTAATGGGAACATGAACATGGGGCTAGGAGCTCCACAACCAAACGGACCCGCAGCCGAGTATGGCTACGCGGTAGCGCGTGGTGCTGAGGCGCGTGTCTCGGAGACCATTCGGTCACGTGCGCTGGCGTTGTATGTGTCAAGGTTACTACGACCTTTTTGGCTGTTCGACATTCTGCAGCCAGTTCGAGGTGGAGCGACAATGGTAAATCCTTCAGCAGCCGGACAAAAAAGGACAAGAGACGACATGTTTGTCAACGGAGGAGGACAGGTAAAACTTGATTGGATGTACCTACAAATTTCTAGTAAAGTTGACATGACTCTTGTTCCTAGTATGTTCTCTCAGCGGAAAATCTCCAGTAGGGTAGCGACGAGGTACTGCGCGCCGAGTCGTTGCGTTTTGGGGCTGTATTTGGCGTGGGATTACAGCTCTGGCAATGGTGGCTATTGCTCAGTAGGGTGCACTGGAGAACTTCCGCTGCAATAGACTAGATGTCCAAAAGTCATGAAAGTTGAGCTATATGATGTATCAACTACTTTTTCCTCCATTGAATAACGCAATTTGCACATCAGACAATTTTTCCATCTGATTAGTAATATATCAAAACATAGGTCGTCTCCCAGCCCCTGCGCTCCCTCTATTGTCTTACTTGGCGACGATCTGAACGCGAATGGCTTGAAAACTCGCTTCGCGGTGTGCTTGGTGTACTGCGGAGAGCAAAGAATTGCAATTTGCAGCATTTCGGAGGCGAAGCCGCTATTTTCGAAGGCCTTCTGATCCTGGTGGAGCGATCTCTTGACGTTTTGCACTTTCTGCAGATGCTTTCTGAAAGTTTACCCCACATCTTGATGCCGCCAATGATGAACTCACCCTCCTCCTCTTCTAGTATAGTATCTGACGCAGCAGCTTTATCCCGTCTCGCCTTCCGCGATCTCGTGCACGGAGAACAAGGTCGAGCCACCGTCAGTCGCTTTGTTAAGAACTGCTCGTATGCGCTTAATTGCGCTAGACTGGCGCAGAAGTGTCCACATCTGTTGTCCATTGCGGAAGCTGAAATCCAACACGCACACGAACTGCTGGATAGGATGCATCAAGGGACGAGCTTGCTCTCAAACGCTCCTCATGCTGTGGAGACGGCTGTGTCGCTGTTGAAGAGAAATTTAGCACTAGTGGACATGCAGGAAACTGGTACTTTGTTTTGAAAAGAATACGCAGTGGTCCGTAAGAGAGACGACCACCATGTTGATTAGCACTAGCAGATACAACAAAACTATTTAGACCTATAACTTCAAGTCAAAAAACGCCGAAGTCAACATAATTCGAACTAAACAAGGTTGATGACCAAAATTCAAAAACATCTCCCCATGATGTACCATGAAGATCTACTTATTCATCAAATCTACTAACCACCAGGCGCTCGCCTCCGCTTACATGGTTGCATTGTCCCCCTCATCGAGTTAGCAGCCTTGAAAGCCAAGGAGCTCGATCCAGCGGACACTGCCAGCGAAGTTCCGGCGCAAGGCGAGGCCGTTTTCTCGGCTCGGATGAAAATCTACGACATCGTCTATCATTCCCTCAACGATCTCGCACTCAGGGCTGAAGGACAAATCCAAATATCTTCTCGAAACAGTTCTTTGTCCAGCAAGAAACATCAACAAAGCAAATCCTTCCTCTCTCAACAACCAATCCCTGAACCCCAAGTTGTACATCATCAATCTTCTCTTCAACTCGTTCAACGACATCAACATCAACAATATGGAGGGTCATCAGGTGTGCCGATGATCATAAGGGGGGATTTGAACAATATACAAGCAGCTGAAGTATTAGAACGATTGATTTGGACAATACTAGAAGTGCCAGATCGCCTTTTTCAGTGCGGACTCTTCAAGCTTTTGCTCACGTGGAAAGCGCCAATTTGGGAGTACCTACTGTTACTTCTGACTTTCGTCGTATGATTTTTGTTATTTTTACACCCTATGCTGCCCGGCCCTGTGCTTGTGCATCTGAACTGAAGGCTCTTATACGAGTAGAAAAAGAAAATTCTACTTATAGATATACATCGATGCATAAGAAAAACTACCTTTTTCCAGTTCCACGCTCAAGTTTATTATCTTCTCGTCATCGCATCTCGATCTCCTGATACCACTCCTACGCTCCACGACTACAACAGGCTCCAGTCGCCCTATCTTGCGGATTTCCTCCTCTCAAGACGGAGCATCCAACCAGAGTTGCTCTGCAAATGGTATCAAGCGAATGGCCAATGGCTTGCAGCATGCGAAGAATATCGTAATGTGGCACGGCTGCCGTGGCCTGCTAATGGAGACCCGGACAATGCGGCGATGTTAGCGCTAGAGGAACGCCTAAACTTCCTGGAAACGGCGAGTCACATTAGTGGTAGAAAAAGACACGTGGTTTTAGAAAAATTCAAATTCTAAGATTTGTCTCAATATTTCTTGTTCACACAATCATCCTATTCCTAGTACGTACTCCTACTGTCTACTGAGCAATTATATCAGCACTTCTTTTTCTCACAACACTTCATTCAAAAATACAACTTAACCCATGCGTCCCAGGTGACTACCCAGACGTGCGCGCTAGCCTCTTGTTCTTGATAAGGCAAGTCAGGTGCCAGATGACTGCGCTGTCGGAGTTGGAGGAAGTTGGAGCCAACCCAGCAATCCTTCGCGATGTTCAAGCGTCAATACTAGATGTTCCAGTTTTGCAGTCGCTAGCGGATAAATACAGCCTACATACCACTAACGTAGCGATATGCTTCTGGCATGAGGATACGAGAAGTATTTGCTTTTATATTACTCTGTATCTTCCTCTTTTTTTAGAAGGAATTGCTTGCATTGAATTGTGGCATCATCATGATTAGATACTAACTTCGATTTCGCCTTGTCTTGAAGTTGATATGTAAGTACCCTAATTCTACAGACCTTCGTGCCTACGTCGACCGCTGGATGCGGTATACCACTGGTGCCCTGAATAATCAGCGAAACCCGCTTGTCCTCGGCGCCGACGCAGTTAGGGATCGCGTTGTGCGACTGCTTTTAGCCTATCTGAAGCCCTTTAGCGCATCTAACAATGGTGTAAGCGCCATTTTTCTACCCTTAGATTTGATTGCCTTGCGGTTGTTCGAGTATGCTTCTGGGTCTGGTGGTTCTACTGGTGGTTCACCTGGATCTTCAGTCCAACAAATTTCGCGTTTTGTCGCTGGTGCCTTCCGGGAAGCGGGCATTGCATGGCCTGAGGTGTATGGAGCTATCTCCAGCGCTGGCATTCCCGCAGGTAGAGCCCTGTACGAATTAAAACACGATATTTTGCTATCATGGGAAGACGAATTGTCACATAGGAACACAGTTGGCACACGCATGGTGGTTCAGCAACTTCAACGGTGTTTCGCAGAATTGGCTATGGAAATGCGACAAAGCCCAAACTTACCAAACAACCTATGGGACAAGATGAACCATTTGAGTCTGCGCGTTGAACGTTTGGCACTGGGTGCTAGTGCTCAGAACCTACGTGGAGGAGGCTTCGGAGGAGCGGCTGGTGGACTAGGTCGCAGTTTCGTGCTCTAATACATAGGACGGCAGATAGTTTCATGATCCTGTTATGGAACTACTACGCGAATAGGATTTCTATCACGATACATAGTTGTCACTTTTCCATGTGACCCAGACCCTTTTGCGCATGAGGGTACAACATACTACTACTACTAGTATTTTTAGATAGTAGTAGTACAGGCCTGCTTAACTTCATCTGTTTGTACATCCATGCTCACATGCAGCAAGAAGCTGTTTTTCTACGCGACTGAAAATATAGCGACAAAACCTTCTATCTTTTGTGGGAAATATAGTGACGAAACCTTTTTTTTATAGTGACGAAGAAACGCAATCCCAATAAAGAACAGGAATCGTGTCATTGACGATGACGAAGAAGCGGAGTATAATAAATTGAAGCAGGAGCAGAAGCTGAGCCGTCACGTTCTCCTTCTCCTTCTTGACACAGTTGTACTAAACGTCCTGTTCTGCCAAAGTCGTGGTGTGAGTGTGTAATGTCTAGTAGAAAGGAAACGCGAGACGTGTTGTATGACCCTGAATTGTGTGGAAACCAATAAGTTGAATCTGACGAGCCGTGCTTGTGAACAACTTCATGATGAATCTAGAGCTATCTTTCATCTCATGATCTGTTCAAGACGCCGAGAGACCTCCTGCTTTTACCCGCCACTTCACAGAAAGATGCCATCAATCTTCTGTAAATCCATCTGCCTCTGTGTGTGTAAGAAACCCAAGTTAGTAGTACGTCTAATTGTACTTGTAAGTTCAAGAAGTGCTCGACTGTGGACGGCGAATCAAATCCTATCCTATCCTACCTAGAAGGATTTTTTTTCAAATTCTTCTTGTTATCCTCTGGTAGCTCTCACTTTTGCCACATCACAATCATAGTTCTAGTTTTAGTTAGTTTGCCCAATACCTCGTTGATGGTGGGCGGCTTCTCGGAGGAGATGCACAAAATAATAACATACACATCTTTAAGTTTAACGAACAGAATCAGAAAAGCAAAAGGAAGCCCACTGTTGTCGCTGTTCTTCCGTATGACGACCCCGGAATTGGAGAGTGGTCTCTAAATTTTGGAACTCAACAGCCTGCAGAGCATGTTAAATTTGAGGGACATGAACAAGCTCCAGCTGCTGAGTGGGTCTCGGCAACGAAGAGCGTCGGCATAGGGACTTGGACAACGGATTTGGCTAGTGTTTTGGAACCAAGTTTGTCCGGTTCCATAGGGACTTGGACAACGGATTTGTGCTGGAACCGGGACGAGGGTCCCGAAATCGTGCATATAGGGCATTCAGCAGGCGGCCACATCCTGCCCATGGCCAACGACCAAGTGAGAGCTAGACTAGGCCAAACGCAGTTCAACCTGAGGACTACGCCTTTTCCTGTGATTAGTCCTCGAGCTATATTCCTGTCTGTGCAGAGCGCCTTTGTTGGAGGAGATGAACCTGTTGGTCAACAAGGTACTAGGGGTCATCAAGGAGGCTTAGGAGCTGCGTTTTTGTCAGCTCAGTACATGCTCGACTGGTCGAAAGAAATAGTGCTTGACGAAGGGCTATTGCGCTGATCAAAAAGCTTTCCCTGAGAGCGCTAAAAGTTACTACAACTCCAATTCTCGTCCAACACTGTACGTCTACTGATGACGAATTCCTTTCATCTGGCTCAGTCTGGTGCTGGTCTTTTGCCTCTTCGACCGACGTCAGCATCAGCAGCATCATTGGCATCTTCTAGTAGTACTTCTACTCTGCAACTAGATGAAGTAGTACCATCTGAAATTCGAGACATTAGTGAGAAGCTGGGTAGTTCAAGAAAGCAGACGAGTGAGCAACACGAGGAAGATGTCGCAAGAATAGGGCATGATAATTGTTGGCTGAAGATGGAAGAGACCCTGTGGCCAAGGTTGCGTCATTTGGCGAACACTGGAAAATAGATGAGTAGGATACCAGTCGTGAAAAATAATGGAGGTGAAAGTGCTAAATCGGCTTGCAACAACTCGCAGTCGACGAATGAGAAAAGAACTTCTAACAGTAAGAATAGTAACAGCAAATTGTAGAGAGCGTGTGGTTGTGGACAAAAACTTCGAGAAGCACAAGACACAAACGAGGCTGCTCCTCGATGACGACGACGAGGATTACATATAACTATATTATATAAGTAACTTCTCTTCGAGTTCGGATTCAACATCCTGGGACGCTTAAGCCCAGTAAACACCTCTACTGTGGAGATCATTCAATGCTGCGCCTCCGACGTGTAGTGGGTTTAATCAACGTTATCCACCACTCAGTCTTGTGAAAGGGGCACTGCTGAGCCTGGGTAGTCATGTATTCGTGTACCAAATTTGAAAGCAAAATGGGACGAGCAGTACGAGCACAAGCAGATGCGAAACACAAGAAAGCTCTTCGCTTTGTGTAACAAGAAAAAGCAAAACAGTAGAAACACCATTTAAGCGTATCATGATCGTGTCCTCGTGCATCCAAAACAAACAAGAAGACCACGAGGAATCATGTAAGAAAAATGGCGTCGTGATGTAGAAGCAAAAGCATAGTCCTCTTAGGATGAAGAAGTTGACGGGTATGAGTACGTCTTCGTCGTGGTCGTCGGGGCCTCATATATGAAAATAGAGAGTTCCTCGTTGTCAGGTGTTGCATCATCAGCTCCATGAATGTGTAATATTATTCGAATCGATTTGATGTTCATGCCACACCTCCTTGTTTAGATGAAAACGCGTTTTTCCTTGAAGTAGCACATCAGTCACGAGTCAACTTCTCATGTTTATAAGTTTAGAACAAATTGCGCAACAGAAGTTTGAGTATCAGCACGCATTTCTTCGTGATATTGAAGTCATCAGCGTAATTAAATGAAACGACTTCGTACCAAAAAACACTGCGCGTGCATTAAATAACCGCGCAAAAGACGTCGCTTCAACCAAAAAATTGTCGTCGAAAAATATATGTCCACCTAGTCCTACATCATCAGCTTTTTTTTCTATTCGTTTTTTTTATCCTTACTTTTTTTCGTCATGTTGATGAGTCACTTACTCTTTTTTCGTTTACCTCGGATTATTTGTAGCACTGGAATCCTGTTGTATTTTTTGAAGTCAAAAAGGTTTTCAACCTTGTAGAAGTCAGTGCTTGTTTTTTTTAGTAGATGAGCCCCGCCCTCGTCTTGTTTGATAGTTTTGTTTCTTAGGAAGATCTATCATGCATGAACAACTCTTTGTCAGAAAAGTTAAGTACGAGTGGTAGTTTGTCTCTGTTCTCGATGAAATTGGTAATATTCAAAAGGCTTCGTTAATATTAACCTAGCTACCCTTGCTATAACATTTTATCGTAAATGACTCCTAGAAGGAGTGTTTGTTTTTGTTCGAATGAATGTATGAATGAGTGTCCTTGTTCTTCCTTATCGTGTGCAGCGGACGAAATGAACAATGGATGAGCAGCGACATTGATACCCATCATTGATTGATTGTTTGAAATTAGCTTTTTTTTTCGAAATTGACATCAGGGTTCTTGGTTCTTCTCTTCATCGTAACGAGCATTTTTTTGGCTGTAAAGAAGATTGAAAGACCATGTCTCTCTGATGAAGGTAAAGTTCCAGTGGTGCCTTTTCGTCGAAATCATGTTGTTAATAGGTCAATCATTAGCAATCGATGGGAACAAGGAATGAGTGAATGAATGAATGGCCTCCTATTGCAGATGGTTCCTCTTGCTGTTAATCAAAAGTGTGTATGAAAATCGAAAACGATATCCCCAGAGCCATCAACTCCCTTCTATTTCGACGAGAAATTAACAGGTACTAAAGTGTAGAAGAGGTACTTTTTGTAGTGTTTTAGATTGGAAGTGTTTTAGATTGGAATGATCAATGATACAGATTGTCCCAGAATAAGATCGATCCCTCATTACGATTGATTCTTTTGCTTTAAGGTTTTTTAGCATGAAAAAAAAACTAGTTTTTTTTAGTTTTTGCTATTGATCCGATGAAATTGAAAGTAGAGCTAAAATTGTAAAAAAAATAGTTTTCCACGATTCCTTGATGATGTAGTAATAACAATGAGCATGTCAAGAACTAAAAAAATGCATGGCAGGACGCACATGTTGCAAATCGTTTCAAACCAGACCTTTTTCATCTTTCAAAAAGGCTTCTTCTGAAACGAATTATAACGATGGTATCTATTGTTCGAATTGGAACTTGATCGGACTGCTCCGACCAAAACTCCACTTCAAGCATGAAGAGGATGATGGTCGTCGTGAGCAAGGTGCGCCTCTTCTACTGCATACGGATGCAGTAGTGATGGTGCTTCTTAGATGTTGACGAGCTGCACACGGCGAGCAGGAGTACAACTTGGACATCATGAGAGTACCGTTAATGTGAATATGCACAAGCTCTAGTACAGCAGGATGTCGAGAGTACAACATCATCATCATCTAATAAGAAGAAAGTAGAAAACGAAATGTGAATGGTAGAAGCAGACTTCGTTCACTCCACCAGGTGACGATGACGAACAACTAGAGCAAAATGTAGTACTAGAAGGCAACCACAACGACCCCATGATCGTCAAAGTTTAACTCGCTCTTGTCATCTAGTACTACTTGCTTCTAGTGCAGCAGATAGAAGCTGCGATCATCTACTACTACCAAGAGGTGGAGCAACAACATGACATCTCCGAGTGCATCGCCTGCTCGTGGCGGTGGATACGAGGTGAAGTATCTTGGTGTGCCAGCACCCGATCCCCCTTTGCAGATTGACTTTCCCACTGCGATCGAACGGTCAAATGGTGTCCCAGTTTTCTCGTTTCAGGTTGGCGAGCTCGCAACCACTGGCCCTGCGACCGTTCTTCGCGGAACAAAGCCAAGCCACTATAAAATCACTTTCGTTAGTAAAGTACAAGAACTCCTGCTAGATCTAGATGGTCGTGACAAAAATAACAAGGGTGGAGGAGGTGTGAGTAGTACCCCAGCTTCTGCTCTCTCAGATGGACACGGAGATCTTGGCAGTAAAAGCAAACTTGTGTCTTCAGATGCTAGCAGCGTGCGTGCGAATCAAGACTTACGGCAGTTGCCACCAGGTTTGAGCTTTGATGAACTCACAGGGACAATATCGGGACTGATACCGACGTTATGGAGAGCGACATTCGGGAAAGCGAGATTTGCCGTATTTTTTCGTTTTGCTCTGTAGGTTCTGGAAAGCAGAATTTATGATGTCACAGAATCTCCATTCACATATACGACCTACTGCTCAGGTATGTCTTTGCATCAGTAACTGCATCTCCATTCACGTATACCACCTACTGCTCAAACAATGTCTTTGCATCAGTAACTGCATCTCCATTCACGTATACTACCTACTGCTCAGGTATGTCTTTGCATCAGTAACTGCGTCTCAGCAAAATAACT